TCTCGAAAATCCAGGAAAAGAGCATTGGAAAGCTGTAAAGTGGATACTTAGGTATCTAAGAGGAAGCTCACATGAATGCTTATGTTTTGGAGGATCAAATCCAATTTTGAAGGGCTATACAGATTCTGATATGGCAGGTGACCTTGATAACAGAAAATCCACTACTGGATATTTGTTTACTTTTTTAGGGGGAGCTATATCATGGCAGTTGAAGTTGCAGAAATGTGTCGCACTATCTACAACTGAAGCGGGGTATATTGCGGCTACCGAAGCTGGCAATGAGATGATATGGCTCAAGAAATTTCTTCAAGAACTTGGATTGCGACAGATGGAGTATGTTGTCTATTGCGACAGTCAGAGTGCAATAGACCTGAGCAAAAACTCCATGTACCATGCGAGAACAAAACACATTGACGTCAGATATCATTGGATTCGTGAGCAAGTGGAGAACGAAATACTTCAAGTCAAAAAGATTCACACGAGTGAAAATCCTGCAGATATGTTGACAAAGGTGGGTACCAAGAGACAAGTTTGAGCTATGCAAAGAACTTGTCGGCATGCACTCAAACTAGAAGATAGTGCTACCTCCTCTAGATGAATGAGACTGGAGGGGGGGGATTGATATAGTGTCCATCTCATTCAAATTATTTGGTAGCCAATTTTGTTGACTTGGTTTGGTTTGGTAGCCAACCTTGTTGAATTAGTATAATTTGGTAGCCAATTTTATTGACTTGGTTTGGTTTGGTAGCCAACCTTGTTGAAATTGTGAAAAGGGTGTGTAAATTGTCAAATATTGTAGGCTTTAGAGAGTGAGGTTTTGGCTATAAAAGGAGAGCCTTAACTCTCATTTCGACACACCAACAAAGAGTGAAAGATAGAGAACAAGATATTCCATAAACTATAAGAAAATAGTTTGTGAAGAAAAATAGAGTGTGAGAGGTATTGTAGTGAGATGAAAAAGCAAAAGAGTATTTTTTCTTTTGAGGGTGTAGTGGTCTTAGGAGTATTCGTACTCGTTACTACACAGTGTAAAATCCTTGCTATAGTGATATCAGTTGCTCTTCTTGGCCGTGGTTTTTTCCCTTATTCAGAAGGGTTTCCACATAACATCTTGGTGTCATTATTGCTGCATTTCTATTCTTGATGATTTAACCATAACTTAGTGTTCCGCGTTTATCACTAATACCGTGAATATTATTTTTACGGGGTTTATTCCCAACAATTAAAACATAAGAAGAGATCTATATATTTTAAATGAACACATAGTGCATGTCATTTCATTTTCAAAAAAAAAAATTGAGGATGAGTTCTTTTTTCTGGTGCTTGCATATTAATCTCTAGCAATGTCCTTATCAACAAGATAGACTAAACCAATGGAGTATTTAACATCAATAATCAGCACCAACATGTAAATAGAATAGTAGTGAATTAAAGCATCCGTGAAATCTGAATTTTGGTGTTAAAGACAAATCATGATTTGAAGATCCTTTCCAGTGTATAGCCCATTTTCGAAACTACATTTAGAAAAGTAGAATAGCAGAAATTATGCCGGAGTGGAACAATGCAGAACACTATTAACGACTTCTGTATTAAATAAATAAAAAAAAACTTTAAGAAAAAAAAAACCGTAATATTTTTTCTTTGTAAGTAAATTCTGAGTCGCACCAGAAAATATTGCTCGAGGGGTTCCTTTTCCCATCCAAAAGATTAGGAGGTATCCTTTCCCAACCGTTAAAGGTTAAGGGGGTAAGATCAGGGACGGAGCTAGAGATCGAGGTGTGGGTTCGGCTGAATTCAGTAATTTTGGTGCAAACTCTGTATTTGTTTTAGGAAGTTCATTTAATACGTATAAAATATTAAATTAGAACCCAGTAACTTAAAAGTGTTAAAATCTTGAACCCATAAGTTTCAAATCCTAGCCCCGCCGCTAGATAAGATAGAATTTACTCAAAATTAAATATGATGTTGCGGTAAAATTAGCCTAAGGGAGGAAGCCAAAACATTTGTAGGCCATGAGAATTTCTAAAGAAAAAGTGTATAATTTATTTATTTATTGACAACTGTAAAGCATAAATATTGTGATGTGAAAATTACTAATATATAGAAGAGCGGGAGAAGCAGGTCGAGGTCGTCATGTGTGTTTGCCTATAAAAGGGAATTCTGGTCATTTCAGCTTTAGTCTTTAATTTCCCTTAAAACACTTGCAGGCGCTCTAACAATGACAGCAACAAAGTAGTTATGATGGGCGCTTGGATTTCTATGTTGCTGGCACAACGCGTGGACTTCCATGTAACATCTGATCACTTCATATTATCAGTCATAACACTATCTCAAAGTTCCCATCTCTCTGAACACCTCCATGAAATCTCTGCTTCCTCTCGCTGCTATTGAAAGGGTATTTAGGTATTTTCACATACCTTCTATTTCCCCCTGCGCTTACACGTGCGCTGAACTTTGCTGAGTAAGCTGCATATGAGATGAGAATGCATCTACAGATACATGTCGATGTTTTCTACGAAATTTCATCAGATTTTACTCCCAGCATCTCTCTTCCTCTGTATCTTCTATGGAATTTTCTCCGTGAGCTTTTGCTGGATTTCTCAGTAACAACACGAGAATTTCTCCGTCGTTCTTCTTTACTCACTGGTATTTGATTAAGATTGGTAGGTGTTTAAATTAGGAATATCTGTTTCACCTTACAGACTGAAACGCTTCTGAAATCTTCGATTTTCTGTCTCTGTCAGTGTAATTTCCTTTACCAAAGAACTCAGCTTTTCTGATCTTTAATAACAACTTATTTTGCATATCCATAAGTGCAATTTCTTTATCTTTTTTGCTGATTGTGCTATTGCTTTCGATGTTTTTGAATTCGAATTCTACTGAAAAATTCAAAGTTTTCTAGGGCCAAAAACTGAAATGGAATATCAATATTTTGTTTGTGGGTTTTTTATATGATGTATCATTGTGAAGAAACGGTGTTTATAGCAAGAAAAAGCTACCTGTAGCTTAAACCTCAAAGTTAACTCCTTCTCACTGTAAGACCTTCTTTGCCACCTCATTTGTATTCTTTATGATTATTTTTAGTTGAATATTGTATTTTGCTCTGTTAATCAAAATTTGGTTTTCTTAATGGATATTATGCGTAGTAGGGTTGGCTTCATGTTGATTTTTGTTTACCCTAAACCTGTGGTGTTGCAGTTGTTTGCTCTCTTTGTCCCGTAAGTGTTTGATAAAATTCCTCTTTTAGCTTTATTGTGTTTTTTCCTGTTCAAAGCTTCAACTACACTTAAATTCTGTGCTAATGCCCTTATGACAATGGTGAAACGGCTACTTGAGATTGTATCTAATTAACTTTAATACACTGCATAAGTGAAAATAATATACATGTTTCAATTATGGAACCAATTACAATAGAAACAAATAAAGACGCGGACACACGCACGCACGCAAAAGAAGAAAAATAGAAACTGACTGCTTCTGATAAAGGAAATCATACAATCAATGATATATTTAGTCAATTTTGAGAAAGAAGAGTTACTATGAAGTCACTAGAAGGAAACTTCCACATAGCTTTTCAAAAACCAATAAAAGTACAGCCTATGTTGTTCTCTTTATAAGCTACAGGAATACATAAGTTTGAATAAACCTTTTAGGCAACTATACATAATAGTCTAGCGGTAAGGAAGTTCATGAAAAATTTGAAACTTCTTCAATTCAAGCCATTTTAGTTTTACTTTTTCCTAAAGGAATAGAAGTCAGATTTCATTGGAGGAACTGTAATGTTGACAGAGAAAATATTCAAATACAAGAGTTTCTCTTCTTTTGTTCAAGAAGGGATATAATCCGAGGCATTTTAGGTCAGAATCATTCTAAAAAACTTTTCATTACTTTAAGGAATCTGGATGATATGCTTAACTGCCGGCAAAATTAACTTCAATAAAATAAACGAATCAGTTCTTTGAGTTCATCCTTAAATCCCATTTTGACAAAAATAAATAAACTAAAGAAATCGATAGTGAAGGACTTGATGGACATTCTTTTTTTCATGTCTGTTTGAATTGAATCTGAAAGTAGAGTGAAAGAAACCGTGATTTAAGTTTGTATATTTGTCTAACTTCAAAGGATTTTGGCCTATGAATTTCACTTATCATGCCAATCGTTTAAGATCTGCCTTTTCTCCGTATTACCAAAATTTCTTGAATATCTTTAACAAAGTTTTCAATTCTTTCTCGACGCAGGGAGTTCCAACACTCAGAAATGTAGTGATTACAAAATCTAAATCTAATTTTTACTAGAAATTCCTAATTGTTGCAAAAAATGTCAAGTGTATTTTACGTATATTTGCTGCCTCATATTTGTAATGTGGGATGGTTTGTTCTTGCAATTTTACAGTTACCAATATGCAGGTTATATTAATAAAATGGAACAAAGACTTAGTATTAGTGAAATTACACCACTAACTACAGAATGGACTTGCAAAGTCCAGGCTGTAGACAAATTTCGGCCACAAGACAATAGAGATCAGCGAGTTCATTTTCAGACAATAATTGTCCAGGATGTAAGCATAAGTCAAGTTACAACTATAGTTGTAACATAACTTCTTTTCACTTGTACTCTTCCAATAATTACTTAGTCATCATTCTTAATAACATTGTAGGAGGAACAAGTTTGTGTGATACTTTATGGTGACGATATTAGAAGATGTGATAACTTGTTCGAACTTTTTGAGACATATCTGATTTCAACTGCCAAGGTTAGAAATCCGCAGCCTTATTCACTACATATAGGCCAATTTGAGTGGATCGTTGACAGATTTACTATTGTGGAGTCTATCCAAAAAAATAATGAAAAGTAGGCACCGTTACCTCCTCCGTCAAGACTGAGTACGATTTCGTTCGCCGACGTTGCACAATAGCCTTCCGGTGTTAAAGTTGGTATGTTTCAAATTACCCTATGCCTTATAATAGCTTAATTGCTTGAAACTCATGCAAGTATATTGGTTTTACGTACATTTGTTTTTTATTTATAACAACAGATCTATTAGCGGTGGTGGCAAACTGTGGGGCAATGCAATACACCGCTGATCAGAGTAAGAGATTTCAAGAGGCCATAGTTATGAACAAAATGTGAGTCATTTAATCTTCTGTTGCATAACAAAATCTCTAGCTCACACTTATAAAAGTACATGTACAGGAAGAAACCTCTCTTCTTCACTATATGGGAAGACTTGGCAAGCAATGAAGGAGCTGAATTACTGAGACAAGTGAGACAACTACAAGAATATCCTATTATTCTCGCGAAGCGGATAGGTACCACAAAATATCAGGGTGGTAAGTTCATGCAGCTCCTGTTCCTACATATGGATTATTGTTTCGCGTTGGTTATTAACAAAATTTTCATGCACAGTTACCCGTTTCGCAACAAGATACAACTCAACAATATTAATCAATCCCCAATATGTGGAAGCAACTGAATTACGGAATTGGTACAATACAAATTGTGCTTAAAATGTACCACATTATTATTTAGCTGTTATTTCTTCTATGGAAAAATAATTGTCTGACATTTCCTGTGCGAATTACAGGATAAATGAGAACAAACAAATGCTAATCGAATACACAATGAATAGTTCAGCAGAGTCAGCTTCATCGCTTAATCTTGTAGCTGTTGACGATGAAATATTATCTGTTTCAGCTATTGCTATGCAAACCTCCACTGTGAGTTCACTAAATTACAAAATAAAATGCCGAGAACTGCCACACAATGTATCTTTTATACAATATGGATAATAATTCAATAATTTTTATTATTAGGATTCGTATATAAAAATTATTCTTAGTGTTCTTTGTTCTTACGAACTGTGTTTTGAAGATTTTTTGGTATTTGCATCAAAGCAGTGTGCTTCAATTTCTTTTATTTTGGCACAATCTTTTCAACTTTAGTGGTAATACACCGCATTCAACAAACCTCTAAATCTAAGTTTTATATAATGAAGCTCTAGAATGCAGTCATTTTCAAGAATGATTGGGAAAATTGGCTTATTGTGATGAACACTTTTGTTAGTTATTGCACATCCACACACGTTAACATAATAGCAAATTGTATGGTGTTTGTTTCCAAAAGTGTTTCAATATTTAATTTTTTTTTGAAATTCTTTACTTTATTCAAAAGTTTTTAAGTTTTTACAATATTGAAATAAGATGCCATCTACTCCTCCCAACTCAAAACACTAATTTTGTGAATTCCTTTTCAAATAGTTTGAGAGTTTTTTCCCGTTGACAAAGGTTTAGAAAAAATATGGTGTTAGATAGTACAGTGAAAAACATGCTATAACTTATTAGGTTAAACTTACGGAGCTTTTACTCCCAGTTAATTTGCCTGACCAACAATTCCTTGAAATTATATGTCTTTACTCTTTATGCCTCTCTTATAGTTATAAGATAGGTTTTGGTTTCTTCTTTTCCTAATTTTCAGAATTTCTGTTGACTAGAAATTGTTCAAATTGAATAAGTGTTTGGTTGCAAATATTTGTGAAATTATATATAATTTTATCTTCACTGGCCTTCCTACGTAAGCTCTGTGACCTTTTATCCAAAAACTTCAGCAGAGAGAGCATCAAAGGAACTGAATATAGACATCATCATCTTTGATATTTTACTGCTTCTAACTTGGAAAACAAATGGAGTTAAAAAAGACAAGAAACTAAAAGTATTGCTTTGTTGGTTTGTTTTTTATGTAAGAAGTGTACTTATAACCAGTACTTTAAACTTGTATGTGAAGAAAAGAAGATTCAAAGGAGAAGTATATATAGGGGTTGGATTAAAGAATAGGAAATCCTTTACCAAATGAATTTTAGGTTGGAGCAGATGGTTAACTGACTATTCATATTAGTATTTACCTTTAAGTTTTTCCTTACTTTTTACTGTAGAAAAAAGTTAAAGAACATCTGAAAATTGTCCTACAACTGCCTATCAATGAGCACAATTATATGTGACAAAAAGGATATTCATTTAGTTGTGGCTTCTCAATCATTTTTGACTAATACTGTATCCACTCTAGCTGTTTTCGTTATATGTTTTCATTTCTGTATTATCTGTTCTGATTGAGGTGAAAATTCTTTCTGTTAAGTCGATTCTTGCTTAATCCCATACTTAATACTATTACCGACTCCGCTGCTACTTCCGACATCATAGATTATTGGAAGTCTTATCTAAAGTTTCTCTCAATTACATAACTAAAGTTAAAATGAGTCTTAAGTAGAAATGATTGCCTCCGCAAAGTTAAAATAGGATCTGAGCAAATTTGTTCAGAGGTGGAACAAACTTTTTTCCCTTTCATGTTATTTGCAGTATTTATTGATCTAATATTCTTCTTTCTGTTTAATGTGCAATAGGTGTTATTTATAGTTATACAAAGATGAAATTGCTTTCTCATCTATAATTTGGTTATGTAGGATAAACTATACGTAAATATGTATCATTATCTGTCACTTAACTCATGCTACTTACAACTACGGGTGCACAATTTATTTCAACATGCACATTGTTTCACATGCTTTTACCTGGATAAAAATAACAAAAAATCAAGTCATTTTGTCTCTTACCCACTAAGTTTTCCTTCTATTATTACTCTGTGTTAACACTTTGCAGGCGGAAAGTTTTTACGTCGAAGGAGAAATTTCACTACCTGAGCATTTCCAACGATTTTACCTGCTAGGTTGTTCTGAATGTAACCATCTTGTTCGGAGCAAAATAAAAAGGGAGATTCAATGTATAAACTGCAGGCTACCACGAATGTTAATTCCAAGGTAACAACTACTACTAATAAGGTTATATCATTGACAATATTTGATATTGTATGTCATCTATTGTACCTCAACTAAAATAATTTACAATATACCACATCATAGGTGCCACTTTGAGGTAGAAATTACAGACAAAACTGGCACAATAACAGCAATAATGTCTGAAGGCTTGGGCGAAAGAATATTATCAATGACAGCTGAACAGATATATGATATCACCGCTGTTAAGGTACATACACATACAACATTGCAGGTAACATAGGTCAACAAACTTAATATAATACTCTGATATGATATGTATTATTTTTACTATCTGTTTACAGAATGAGTTATTCCCTGTTGCCCATATCAACCAACTACTTGCGGATAAACTATTCAGAATTCAGCTACAAAGGTCATCATCCAGAACACCGGACAAAGATTCAGGTTCTCTGGTTCTTTTGTCATACACTGAAAAACCAACCATGTTTCTACCAGAAGAGTCAACATCTGCGAGTGGTGCCGACAGAATTATGGAAAAAGAGCCAATACATGTGACTGATGCAAAAGCAACTAAGAAACGGAAAAGGGAACCAAGTACTCTACCAAAGCTACAGTCAAGGTTAGAAACTCAAATGCCATATTTTACGATGTACTAATGTTCTTAAAATGAATATATTATTTGTACAGATTGTCGAACCAGTGATGTTCACTCAGACAGTATGCGATGTACAGGCACATTTTGATAACATTTTGCCAGATCAAACCGATCTTTTAACAAAGTTTAGATATTTGTCCGCCTTAACAAACTGTTCCACATTTTTTGCGTAGATAGTTGTCAGTAGTATGTGCCTATGTTTTTGAAGGCAATTAGTATTATTTTTGGATATTGGAGCGGCCTCTAGATGATGTACATACCAGTCTGTTTATTGAAATGTAGAAACTGAATGTAGTGTTGCTATATATCTTGTCTGTTTCACATTAATGTTACAAACATGCTGTTCTGTGCAAAGATTCAGTAATTGCTATGAAGAATGTATCTTCAGTGGATTGATTGAGGCTAGAACTGTACATCGCTGAACTTTGCGATGTATAGTGCGTTCATACAAGTCACTTGCTTATAAATTAACTCTTTCCCAATGGTACTCTTTAGCTATAAGAAGTATATGGTTGAGTTTGGTGAATTTGTGACGGTATTATACATTGTCTTTGATAGATATGATCTGACTTTCTCAATTGCTCACACTCTAATCCAAAGTGTTGGGCCCGGGCAAGCCCGGGTTGATCCCATCTAGTCATGGTATATAGAGTGCTTGGATTTAAGAATTTCCAATCGGTATACTGTAATGTGTCTAATGGCCAAAGGTTGTGTTTTAAAAGAAAATGAAATGACAACTCTTGGTCAATCGGTGGGATCGCTTTCTGAGAAAGCTTGTTTAGCTTGCGTTGGCTAATTGGGAGTTATTTATGGCAATTAATTTTTAAAAAATTAAATTTTAAAATTATTTAGAGGATTTTTAAGTAATTTAACTTTACAAAGCGGTGGTTATGTTGGGGTTGAGTATTGGCCTGTTAAGAAGTCACATATCCAGAAGATGAAAGTAGCAGAAATGAGGATGTTGAGGCGGATGTGCGGGCATACTAGGATAGATAAGATTAGAAATGAAGATATTCGGGAGAAGGTTGGCGTGGCTTCCATTGATGATAAGATGCGGGAAGCGAGGTCAGATGGTTCGGACACGTACAAAGGAGAAACCTAGATGCTCCGGTAAGGAGGTGTGAGCGGCTAGCTTTGGAGGGCACGAGAAGAGGTAGAGGACGACCTAAGAAGTATTGGGGAGAGGTGATCAGGCAGGACATGACGAGGCTTCAGATTTTCGAGGACATGGCCCTTGATAAGAAGCTATTGAGGTCGAGTATTAAGGTTGTAGGTTAGGAGGCAGTTGAGTCTTTCCTTCATATTTTTGTGAGGTTAGTCTGGTAGGGTTTTTGTCGAAGTCAGTTAGAGGCAATGTTACGTCTTACTTACTCTTTCGTTTTCCATAGTGTCGGATTTATGTATTATCTATTGCTTTTGCTTTGCATCTACTTTCTCATTTTCATGATATTATTTTTCATATGATTTCTATTGGTGGTACTAATATTATCTCTTTTCATCTTCTTGAGCCAAGGGTCTTTCGAAAACAGCCTTTCTACTCCCTCAGGTAGGGGTTAAGGTCTGCGTACACACTACCCTCCCCAGACTCCACTACTAGAATTTTACTGGGTCGTTGTTGTTGTTGTTGTTGTTAAGTAATTTAACTCTTAAATTGAGGAGTTCATACTTCTAATATAGTATTTATATTGATATTGATGATATAGATATGATAGATGCATATTATGAGGAACCCCCTCTCATCTTAGGAATGATGATATTCGGGAGAAGGTGCACATGGCTCCCATTGATGATGCGGGAAGCGAGGCTCAGATGGTTTGGGCATGTTTAGAGGAGAAACTCAGATGCTTCGGTAATGAGGTGTGAGCGGCTAGTTTTGGAGGGATCGAGAAGAGGTAGAGGGCGGCCTAAGAAGTATTGGGGAGAGGTGATCAGGCAGGATATGGCGAGGCTTCAGATTTTCGAGGACATGACACTTTATAGGAAGTTGTGGAGGTCGAGTATTTGGATTGTAGGTTAGGAGGTAGTTAAATCTTGCCTTACTTAATACCTTTATGAGACTTGTCTAGTAGGTGTTTTTCTAAGATAGCTAGTGGCAATATTGTGTCTTACTATTTTTCGGTGCAGGACCTATTTACTAGCTATTGCTTTTGTTTTGCATCTTTCTTCTAGATTTCATGTTGTTCCTATTTTTTCTATGATTTCTGTGGTGATACTAATATTGTTTCATTTTGTCTTTTTGTTCTCTTGAGCCGAGGGTCTTTCAGAAACAACCTCTCTACCTCTTCGGAGTAGGGGTAAGGACTGCGTACACACTATCTTTCTCAAACCCCACTAATGAGATTTTACTGGGTTATTATTGTTGTTGTCCCCTCTCATCTTAACTGCCAATTTAATTCTTTTTATGTTCCTTAAAAAATAATAAATATAAAGTATAGTTTACTATGTGACTCATCTATAATAATAAAAGTAGATTAATTTATTTTGTCTTATATACTGTGCAATTAAGTATATAGTTGAAAACAATAAATACAAAGTATAGTTTATTAAGTTACTCCTATTTAATAAAAGTAGATTATTTTATTTCAATTAAATACTATGCAATTAAATATATTGTTGGAAACAATTACCAATTTTAATTTCGTTTTCCTGAAGTGACAGTTATTTCTAGATAGTTCTTTCAAAGTTAGAGTGATTGTTGCTCCCAAATACACACGCAAGTATACGTGGCCGACAAGTAATATAGGATTGTAAGTCCAGATATCATGCCCACAGGGACTTGTGATTAACTATCAACTAAATTAAACCAAACAATTAGTCTATTAAAGCAATTTTCTAAAGTGTGATTAATTAACAACAACTAATCTAGAGTAGCAAACAAAGAGATTAAAGGAACAAGTTGGCAAATTATAGAGACGAATTCAATACAACAACAATAACCCAGTATAATCCCACCAGTGGGGTCTGGGGAGGGTAATGTATACACATACCTTACCCCTACTTTGGGGTAGAGAGGCTGTTTCCAAATAGACCCCCGACATCATTCCTTTCAAGAACTACCACCTTTGCTCTTGGGGTGACTCGAACTCACAACCTCTTGGTTGGAAGTGGATGGTGCTTTCGATCAGAGCAATCCACCTTGTCTATAAGAGACGAATTCAATGTGAGTTAATATTCTAGAGTTATAGGTTAGCTAACAATACCGTTGAGTTTTTCACTTAAATCGTCTAATTAATTTATCTGATTTATTGGTTGACGGGGTTAATATTGCTCATAGCCTTCTCCCGAAGTACAACTCGACTAGTCAAGCTAATTTAACGCCTATATTCCTATGGAATGAGAATTAACAGGAACACATTAATAATTCCTGTATAGTAACCAAGCAAGGCGATTAGGTATATCCTATCCTAACCGCAAATCTCCCCCCCCCCCCC